TTAGCATAGGCATCATAATTAGAGAACTAGCACATTCAAAAAGATACAGTTTATAAAAAATATAGTCTATTCTTAAATAGAAAGTTCCAATATTCTTACCGATATTATATCATCCTTTGAAATCGCTAAACGGTAATGCATAAATTGTCAGGAGTTGCTAAAATCACATAAACTAAACACGTCATGTAAGGTCAAGAAGCGCATGCAGAGGCTGCAGAGCGCCTCTGCATGCGCTTTGAGGCACTTGACTCTCGTGTGTTGCCCCTAGTGTGAACGGGCCTTTATAGTGGCGCTCCTAACACTAATAAGTATGCGTTTAAAAATTACTTTTTAAAGACAACACTTCCAAAGAATCCAGTGTCTCCAATCTTACCAATGTACAATGAATTTCTCATTTAATTTTCAAATTAAAAAATTAGTTTTTCAATTTTTTTTTTATATATAAATTTTTTAATATATAATTTTTTTCAAAATTATTTATTTTGACATTTGATTCATGCATTGTCTCCAACTTTACACAAGTGTGCAAAATTTCAGATTGATAGGATAAGTAGAAGTGTATTAAATTTCGATTACAAGATTTGTAGCAGACAGACAGACAGACAGACAAACAAGAAGTGAAGTTAAAGAGAAGTGTTGTAAAAATAATTACCATTCTGATAATTAAATTTGATTGTTTGAAGACTGCCCCTCTACAGTACTCATTTTGGTTTTCACTATCGAAAATGGCGCATCCATGCTACTGAGGTCTGGCGGAGGCATATTAGGATGCATTTTCAATAAGTGAAGTTTAAGTTTGTCTTTAAAATTGACTCGATAGCCACAGAAAGGACACTCAAAAGGCCTTACGGCAAGGTGGGTCGCCATGTGGCGTTTCAAATGCCACAATCGGCCGAAAGTTTTTGCGCACGAAGGACACGAAAACTGTTCGCCGCTTTCGGTTGAACGAGAAACCGATCTGACATCCAGGTTAGGAACTGATGAGCAGAGATTCTGGTCTAGAGCTGACATATAGGAGCAATCGTCCTCCCGTTCCGAGACTGGGTTCACTGCAGGGAAGAGCCCAGCCAGATTTCGAGAGGGGGCATCAGGTTCGCCGTACGCAAGTGTGTGGTCACGCCTTGCTTCCGATTTCTTGGTATCATCCAAGACTGTACGAGGCAGGAAAATGGAAGGCGACGTCTGAAAAAGTAAAATTAAATTGACTTAGTTTGCATATCAAAATGAAAAATTTTCATGCGATTGTAAAAATCTCCATTGATACGATGGTCCAACAACGGCGTCGTAGCGCAAAATGTTCAAGTACAATGCGGCAGCATTTCTGCGCGAGTCTACAGAAGACAGCAGGTACAATTCTAAACAAGACGGACCTTAACTAAACCTTAAGCAGTGAAAATAAATCCGCAATAAATAAATGCGGAGAATAAATTTTGTTTAAAGCGAAATTGGTGTTTTCGCAAGAAGCTTATTTTAATGTGGGCCAGTTATGAGAAAAAATTAGTACGGTGCCTCGGTGTAATCATGTCGAACATAGGTGTAAAAAACCGCGCTTAACCCTTTACCGCCTGACACGAGTAACCGGAGCAATATTGTCACAAGCCTAATTCCCAAAATGGATACGTTCTAGCGGGCGCAAAAATGACTTGCACTGATGGTTGCCGACACGTACGACAACTTTAAAATGTTCTCTGTTGCGTACAAACGTCCTCTGGTTGCTACACTCATTGTTTACGTATAATTCAATTCAAGTTGATAGTTATGTTCCCGGAGAGTGACATACGGCTGTAGCGGTTTAATACACCTATTAGATCATAAGCAAGGCAGAAACGATAGCGGAAATCAAGCATAAGTTATAAGAATGAACCGACAACGAACACGGTCCTTATATTTATGATAGAACAAAATTACTTCTGACACCTTTCCTTCCCCCGCGCTAAAATATTTCCCTAAAACTCCCCTCTGCATTCAACCGAATATCAGTTGGTACTCTGAGCATTAACAATGAAATTCTTGTTGACAAGCAAATATTAATTCAGCCGCTTGGTCTAAGTACGGCGAGTTGAGTTCAATAATAAAAAAGATCAATGGTACATAAAATAGCATCTACAGTTATGCTCAAGTTGCATCACTTTAACATATAAAGGAGTGTTCCAAAAATATCAAATCTTAAATTGGCAGGTTAAACAAATGATGCAAGGGAGACTTTTTGTGGAGGGAAATTCACTCGCAGCCGTGAATTATTTCACATCTGCGGGCAGCGTCAGTTGCTGGAAGGCGGCGTATGTGCGGAAACGTGAAGAGAGCGATCATCGGATTTCGGTTTAATCACTAAAATTGCTAACAATGGAACATAAGCAATGCTTCCTGAGCACCGAAAAGGGCAATAAGAACAGAGACCGCAACTTTCTGAAGACCGTGATCGCAGGCGACAAGTCATGGCTGTGTGGATAGGACTCCGAAACGTAGATGCCATCTTCACGGTGGAAACATCCGCCATCCCTGAGGTCTAAAAAACACGGTAGGTTCGCAGCAAAGAAAAGGGCGTATTGACCGTTTTCTTTGATTCCAGGGGTGTGTGATGCGCACAAAAAAGCAAGTCGTTACAAAGAACTACCAGGAGGTCCTTCAATAACTTTGTGATGCTTGCTGTGCCACGCCCCGGCCCTAAGTTTTTGCAGCTCCATCTATTCTGCGCTTTCAATTCAGGCTCTCTTTTCCATGCACAACACTCCTTTGGTTTGTCAGGTTCCCTACTAAACCAACATAATTTCAAAAAGTCAAGTGAGTTATGAAGTGCAAGTGAGTCAAGAATCATAGTGAGGAATGAGGTGGACCTGCATAATACCATTTCGCAGATGCGTTTTCAAAAATGGCGAAACCGCAGGGAGCAATGTGGTCACCATCAAGGAGACTTCTTTCGAGAATATTCAAGTTTTAGACCTCTATAACGATAAATATAGGAATGCCGGCCGTAGTTTCGATGCTGCTTGAAAACCCATCATAAGTAACGAGAAATGCAGCACTTGGTACAATCATACGTCAAAAATTTCGAAAACGGAAAAAACGCGCAACTAAAAAAATATAACTCAGTACTCACTGCAGTGAGTGACAGAGCGCGCATTTTCTCGTCGACGAAAATTTGAGGTCACGGACAGACGGATGGACAGACAGACAGACGGACATGGCGAGCACAATAGTGCATTTTTTCCATAAATGAGAAAATGCGCTAAAAAGAGAAAAAATCACGACCAATTTGGATGTCTTTGATAAATTTTCGAATACTAAATATTGAAAATGAGCCATTCAAAATTACTGCACAATTTCATAAGTAGTTTTGTCGAAGGTTTCCCCATCTGCGAATGAATGAAACTTGAAAACTGCTGCCCCATTGCGCCTTGGGAAACAATCTGGCGCAAAGTAAGTGGGACTCGCATCGTGCCAAGTGAAAATAACGAACAATTTAAGGCACTGACGCGCTACTGGGCCTTGCAGCGAATTTTCCAACTTACGCTGCAAGGCGCACTTAAATGAGCTATCAGCTTTCTGGAAGGAGAAATGTACATAGGAACAGCTAACTTTACTGAAAAATATCTAGAGGGATCATAAGGCCATGAAAACTTCAAGTCCTTCGCACTTCCTATTAATTTACGCACTAATTTTTGCACTTAGTTTTAATTGCATCATAATAATATTATTGTATAATATTAGCCATAATATTTTCGAAGATAAGGTTCAAACGGCAAAATACTTAAACTACCGACTAAGACCGTACATTTAGTTGATCACTCAGGACCATAATAGTCTACTTGTGACTAGAAAAACAAATGGCGGTGCTAGAAAATGAATTGATAATTTGTCTCGATATATATTCTTATGAATTCAACTTGAATTGTTTCAAACAACACGATAATTTACTCGACTAAGATGGCAGAAAAATATTACAACAATTTTGGGGCAGGAGTAAGAGAAGATATAAAAGGAAATGTTACATTTAAAGCCACTTTCATTTAAACTAGTCGTGTTAAGACATTTTTTCTAGAATAATGAATAGCGATCGCTCTTGCTGAACACGTTTAAACTTACAACATGAAAAACTTCAAATTAGTATTAAGTTGCATTATGAATATTGCACTAAACATTTTTGGGTAGTTTTTAGATAATCATCAGTATATACAATTTTTAGTGCGTCATCTCTTGATTTCAATTGAACGTAGGAGAAAGAACAAGATCATTGTGCATGTTCTTAATGTGCACTTGAAGGTTTGACTTGACGTTAGCAGCGTGTGGACAGAACGGACAGTTGAAAGGTTTGACCGCAAGATGGATGTTCATGTGGCGCTTGAGGTGCCACTGTCGGGCGAAGAATCTACCGCACACCGGACACGGAAATGAGTTAGGTCCCTCGACCGAAGAGCTGCTGCCGCCGGGTAACATTAAACTCGATGTTCCTTCCCCGAGGAACAGAAGCTTGGGGTCGCTCATCAGGGTAAGGTCCAAGTCCTTCTCGTCATCAGCGTCCGACCGTTCGAATTTTCTGCGGTTTGTGGTCGCATAGCGAAGCAAATTTGCCGATGAGAAAACAGAGTCGTCTTCTTCCGTGGTTCGACGTGGCTCAGGAGGGAGTGTTTGATCTCTTCGTTCGCCGCGGCTTGAGGATAGTCTCTGCAAGACAAACAATGGTATTCCATCATTTTCAGAATCTCCATCAATTGCATAAGCTATGGATTTAAAATTGCATTTATTTTCGAGAATTAGACGCATCACAAATTTGCGCAAATCGGGATATAAAATTCCACCGAAAATCAGTGCTTTATTTGGTCATCATTCAAGTTTCAGATCTAAGAATTTGAGGCTGCTGCAAATGGCTGAAAACATTGAGGTCCGAAGAATGTCGATTTTTTTCAGAAAAAATCATTTCGATGAAAGAAATACAGAAACGTATTCGACACGATACATTCCTGGAATACATCTTGTTCATGGGAAAAGAAACGCAACTCATAATGAAACCAAATTTTTTTTGTAAAGACAATACACGACATAAAGTTGTACCTTGTACAGCTCCCGAACAGGGAACTGAGGAACAGCAACTGCACCCATACATCGATACATTACAGTCATTATTTCTACGGTAAAGCGTCACTAGGAAATTAGTTACTTATTATTATACGAAGTACAGAAATTATTTTGAGAACAGGCACACCACTACATATCGCACAACCAGTAGTTAATAGACACTTAGCACGCTGCAAGGCCCACTTACTTAACCACGTAACTAAATAATTACTAAGAATATACCTGGTTTCCACCAACAATAGGCGTTACAATTATTTTTTTTTTCAAAAACTATGTTGATGCATATTTTGTTTAGCAAGCACAATTTATCCTAATACCAGATAAATCTCGAGCACAAATCTTTTGTTTTCGCAACTGCTCCAGGTGAAGTAGAACAGCTAATTTTACTGAACATGAATGTTTACATCCACGAAAAGTTCATTTTGTATTAAACAGTGTCAGATAAATTTCAAAGTTATTAGATGCCGGTACTTTTGAAAATACAAATATGAGATATATACTTGGGAAATTAGAGCAAGAAAAAAATGTAAATACTTATGAGAAGCTGAAAATATTTGTCCGATCCCTTTAGTATATTTACCATGCGATCACAAAGACAGCAAAACAAATACTTTCTAGGGTAACAATATAGAGAGTAGAATGCCGGCGAATGAGTATAAGCTTAAGTAAAGAGAGTAACGGAGCAACGATGGCATCAGAGAGCATTATTACGCTTACAAAATGAAATGGATTGACTGTTTTTTTTTTAAATCGTGCAATCCCAGTATGCTTGTCATCCACCCTATGTCGGTTAGAAGTGCCTACAAATTGTTCGTTATTTTTCAAGCTATAATCTATGACATCACAACCATCGATTTTGTAGGTAAAATATGAGGTTACAGTAATAAACGCACAACTTGATAAAATGTGCCGTAGGGTAAACCATTGTTAAAAACCAAGTTAGATGACAAAGGAAAATGAAAAATTTATCGAAAGAAAATTTAAAACAAAAAACTCGTGATTGAAATCTATGAATTAATTACTCGGCAGATTTGCCAGAAAGAAATGACGAAGATGATTTATTGAACGCTGCTGTCGTCGATAGAAAAACCAAAAGGCTTGTCACTGTGTTGAATTTTCACATGTGCCTTGAGGTTGTGCTTGAAGTTAGAGCGGTGGTTGCAGTAAAGACATTTGAATGGCCTCATGTCCATGTGAGTGTTCAGATGACGACGTAATTCCCAACCACTGGCAAATATTTTTCCACACAACGTGCACGGTTTCTGCGGAGGAACACCGTAAGCATGACTTCGTCCACTGGACGGATCACCTAGAGACTCTTCGGTTCCAAAGATCTCAGTTGATATTAGTCCTACTTGAAGATCTGAAGTTAAATTCACGGTGGATGAGAATCCTTGGGCTAAGTTAAGGACACTTTCCCGTCCCGTGAATCGAGTTTCTCCCAACCGAGATGCCTTGGTGCTTAACATAGTAGATCGCTGGCCGCGAGATGAGCTATCAGCTTTCTGTAAGAAGAAATGGTACATAGTTTCATTCATACAGAAATGATGCTGATAAGTGAAAACTTTGCGTATAAAACGAGTGCATTAGTTAATGTGTAGCAATAGTAAATCCGATTAGTGAAAACATCGCATGTAAAACAGGTGCATTAAACAAACTGGTTCCAAATTTCAACTACTAAGCCTCAAGATTTAACATCGATACGTAGCCAATTTGTTAAACGATAATTAATTAATAACAAGTAGAAGGTAATACTATTAATTTAAGGGACCATGTAAGATTGTAAAAAATTGCGTCAAGCCCCAATCGAATACTATTGTATTACAATATTACAACAAACATGAAATAGGAAATCGCTTCCCATCAAGAGACTCTTGGTTAGATTCTCTGCCATTACCAATCAAATTTTAAGCCTTGGTGCATAAACCTACTACATACATCCATTGTTTAATTAACGTCAGGAAAGGCATTTAAAAAAAAGTTCAGTCGCGGTAGATCACATCAAGTGATCCACGACTGTCACTCCATCGGGTCAAAGCCGATACACGAACGCCCTTTACTTGCCCAATAGCAAAAAATGGATAGATCAAGTTATAAATAGTCATATCACCTATTTATTTACACTTGTGAGAGAAGTTTCACTGGCTGACAGAAGTATTGACGTTTTTCAAAGACAAGACAAGATTTTCGTCCGATGCGTGCATGGTGAATATGTGATGGCGCATATTATGCTGCATACTAGCGCGATGCGGACACACGGGACACTGGTATGGTTTTTCTTTGGTGTGAGTACGCAAGTGTCGCTCGAGACCTTGACGACGGTTACGACCATAGATGAGCTTGCCGCAGAAAGGACAAGGTATTGACTGAGGCGTAAGAGTGTTAGCTGAGCTGGTGTCTCTGAGAGATCCTAACATGTTGTCGATCTGGAACTTGGAGCGACGTTGAGCGTCGAGTCCAACTTGCGGCAAAGCTTCGTAGATCGTCGCTGCCATCTGCAACACGAAGGAAGAGCGCTCAGTTCAGTGTTACTCTAGAGCAGTGTTCCCAAGGTGGGCGATATCGCCCCCCTGGGGGCGATGGAAAGATCTGTTGGGGCCTTTGGAAAGATCTGTGTTTAACCTTTCTCTTTCAAAACATACTAAATATCAAGAAAGAGGCGTTTGTTTTTATATATGTCTGTCGGCGAGGGGGGGGCTATAGATGCACTGGGGAGCCAAGGGGGGCCCCAGCCTGAAAAAGTTTGGGAACCACTGCTCTAGAGAGACGAGAAGCAGTAATTCGTCCTGACGACCACTCGGGGAAGTAAGCACACTTAGTTAACGAGTACAGCAGTTGTAGAGGATGTCATCACATAATAAAGAAATATGCAGTTCCAGCAGACTTTCTCCGGTTTCCCTCAGTGATAACAAGTTCAGAAAATATTCATCAACGTTCAGTTCTCATCCATATTACTGCTGGATGCGATATTACATAAATATGAATGCGACAGTGCGGTCTAGCGATTGATAATTTTACATACAAGTCGACTTACGCTGAAATTTTGCTAAATTTAATTTAGGTACACTTAATTGTTCTCTATAAATCTATTGCGCGTAATGAATTGAAGGGACAAATTAAAAATATTTATCGGAAGCAAGTGTATTTGAAGCAGATAATAGTGTATGATTACAGAAAAACTATTCCAAAACAAAGCATACGTCACAAAGGAAAGAGACATACTGAGCTCACTTATTTCACTGCAATGGACAAACTACAATCAACCAACATAAAAGTGAAGATAAAAACCCTAGGAATTTAAACATATAAATTTTACAACGATAATCTAGCATGTAAAATCTACAAAAAATTGAACAACGTGAGTCAACCCACTTAAAAAATATTCTCGCTGGTTCACCGACGGGTAAAAAAAATAAATGTTTGTCGTAGACCATGAAGTCGTAAAAATTACGGGAGGCCTTGCAATTTCAAATGATTAATATCATCAAGATTTGTAAGAGCCTTGCACCCGAACGCCCATTAGCTATCGAACATTCGCCAACGCATAAACATGATGTCTTGCTTCTAGCTTGGTGGCCTCTAGTAGTTACAGAAACGACAGAGAATTTCTTCTTCTTATCTGTTCTCAATTTACTTATTTTTCACATATCGGTGGAATTCATTATATATAAACAATAATTGTACATAGCCCTATATTTGACATGAGACAACATTTACAGACAAGAAACAATGAGTGACGCATGACTGCTAAGACAACTATCACACTCGAGGATCCTTAAAAAAATTATTTAAATATATCATAGTATTCATTGTAGAGCCTAACCTAGTGATCAATAATTATGATTTTTTTGAAGAATCAACATCAGCTAAAGAAAAGGAGTCTCACGCTAATCAGAGCATTGGCAGTCAACCATTTCAAGTTTCAATTTAGCTGCATGTACTCAACAACTTTACCCTAAGCTATACTTTCTCTACCATGCTGGGCCTATACTTTCAAAAAAGTTAGGAGATCGTAAGTTCATCAGCGAATCATTGACGGTCTTTCAAGCAAAATCCACCAATCATAGACAAGAAAATAGAGCGTAAGTACTTACGTTCACTTAGCGAGTTTTGAAAGTATGGCCCCTGGTTGCTGCCGTGTACGTTCATAGTCACTGGCGCCACAGAACACTCAGGTAAATAAGTGAGGTTTTGTCCAGAGTGAACAACGGACAACAGGTAATACCGCTTTATCCCAGTGAGAGGATCCACGTGAGCCTGCGGCCGTCCACATTGTCAGTGGACGAATAAATGCATGAATTTATTCATTAAAATGAGGATCCAGTGTACGAATTTGAATAAATTTAAATTTACTATCATCAAGACTGATCCTGACATTCTTACTCATTCGGCGAAATGATCATGCACTTTTCTAAGAAAAACAAAATATAAAAATAAAGCAATTAAAAATCTAGCTGTTGGAAAAAAAAACAAAAAACTAATATCCAAATCCACTATTTAAATATAGATTGACTTAATAAACAATTTTCGAAACACGTGAATAAAATACTTGGTCAAGAAATAGTGGGGTAATTTCCAGGTGACACACCACAGCACTGTAATTTTATTCGTAGAAATGCGCATCTACGTCAAAAAATGGGTAATTCGACGGCTAGCGAAAACGATCTTACTGATTTAGAATAAAATCTCAAATATTTCTGCAACAGGCAGATCAGAACACAAGTATTTAAGATTTACTTAGGGACATTTTAAAACATTATTATATCAACGCAATACGTACAAGATGCGAATTATTTGTCAGGACTTGAATTGTTATCAATTAGACTTACAATAATCTGTAGTACGGGCATCTCAAATATCATTCATCCTAATCATGACCTTAATTAAGCAGATGGAAGTGCTCGAGTTAGGCAGCTTGGTAATGCAAGCGTACAAATTCCGCCTGAAATACGTGGGTGCAAAGATACAATGAAATGTAGCACATGCCATGGGAAATAACAGCGAAGACGTTTTACTTAACAAACTCGTCAAAAGTACAATCACTCAAGCATGACTTCTAGTCGAAACGAACGCAGCGTTAGTTTTCCTACATGAAAATGTATAATGATTTTTTACAAAATTTTTGGTGGGGGGATACGAATGGCATTTTCAGAGTTTAACAAAAACAGCAGGAGTGGACATCAAAGAAGAAATTTTATTATAAATATACGAATTGCTCAGTTTAATGATTTTCTAGACTGCTCGAATGAAAACCCAAACAGTCAACCACGTCAGAAAGAACTAAAATGTACTAATAATACCACATCACATAGATTTATTATGGAAAGGGTAGAAATAATGTTAGATGAATTCGATTGAAGTGAATAACAAGGCAGCTAGTTCAGGTAGGGTGTACGTGCTTCGCTAAAATGTGAAGCTGTAGATTTTCTTTGCGGTTGGTACGGTGGGAGCAGTGGGGGCAGTGAAATGGCTTCTCCCCAGTGTGGATGAGCATGTGCCTGTTAAGTAAAAAATTTCGTTTGCTTCCATAGAAGAAACTCTGACACACAGTACATTTGGCTACTTTAGACAGGTCTGCCATAGCATTACCAGCGCGATGCTGACGCCTGCCACTAGCAACAGCGTCGGGGCCCATTATCGTCCAGTCATGTCCAGTTTGTTCGCTAACAACGCAAACTTCATGGTCATCTACACGAGAAGTTTTCTGCGTGTTATGCAAAGTGTTCGAAGCAAAGAAGGGCATCGATGTGAGTCTTAGGTCAGCGGTTGAGGAATCTTCGGCGGTGAACATTTTCGAGGACGCGGAGAGCTCCTGTGGTGGTGGAAACATCGTCGATCAAAAGTATGAACAAAAGTGGCGCAGATAAACGATTTGTACATCAACAACTGCCAAAGATAAATTTGTCAAAAAATGCTTATTTGTAGTTAATAAAAAGAAACGTAAAAAAGGAACGACCCATCCTGAACCGAATTACACACGGTTCATAGATCGAATTTTGTTGTAAGCGCTCAAAAACTCAACTCGAGTTGTAGAGAAGTGAAATACATACATAACGAATGGCAGCGTTTTCCAACCTGTTTCATGATGCATCATTTTGTCGAGAAGCATTCACGCAAAAATATATGAACGTACTTGCTTCCAAAGAGATTATCTTACAAACGAGCACAAATTCTCACTTTTAATACATTAACTTGCAAACTAACGGTGGCTACATAAAAAATTTCAAGAACTACTTATCGCTAAGCAAACAAAACTTCTTCATTGAAACACGAAGGAGCAAGTTTATTAATAATTAACAAAATTACGAAAGAGAGGATTCGCGCGAACAGCGTTTTCGACTCGACATTTTCTTGCTTTTGAGGATCGCACCAAAGAAAAATCTTGGTATCAATATTGTATTTTCAGCGAAAATACTTTCCATTTTCTAAGCAACTAAAACAGCATTAATAACTTGGTACTTCCTATAAAATATGAACATTTATTTACATAAATGAAGGCGATGTAAGAGCTTCATTTCGGGCGTTTTCATAATGCACTCGTGTCAAATTTTCCAAATGTCTTACTTTCTACAAGAACAAGAAAATTAAATCAGTAAATCCCACATGTTAGCTTTCCAAGTCGCCTTTTCAGGCGAAATTGCACAGCCAGTTCAATTTAAAGACTTGGTAGGTAGATATTGCTGCAAAAATACAGCTTCTTCTGTCATTCAGCACGGCAGCAATAGATCGATTCGATGATACAACTTCAGAACACTGAAGTGTCTCTTGATACAATTGCAAAAAAAGTAAATTATTTTCTCCGTATAATTGTCTCTTCAGATGGATGAAACCATAAAACGCCTGGCCATTAGCACTTGATTCCATATTATTTATCACTCAAGTTTCACTAGCCGCTGGTAGAAGCAGTGTCCGAGAAGACATCTTGTGTTTGGTCAAGACGTGTCTGTCAAGCGTATCTTTCCTGGGGAACTTGACGAGACAAAGTGGACATTGATACTTGGGAGCGCCGGCGCTATGGACTGCATTCATGTGTCTCTGCAAGCTGTACTTGTTGAGCCGACCTCTGAATACACTGCCGCACAGCGAACAAGTCAAGTCAGGGCGTGATGATGGTTGCTCGTTGTGTGCGAGATTTTGATGAGAAGGTTTAAACATTTGGTGAGGCAGATGCTGAAAGCTGGCCCATGCTGGATAATGGAGAGACACGTGAGCAGGAGACGCGGCTCTGCTACTCGTCTGCACAGATAATGCAACAATACAACATTTGAAAAGCTATCCTCGAATCCGCTCGTCTCTCAAAAGGCAACGTATCAAAATAACAAGATACAAATCGATGCTATGGTGTAACTTCTATACTAGCGGTAAGCACCCTGTATTGTAGGGGATTTGAGCAAATCAAAGCAAAGTCGTCACGTGAAATTTGAAACACTCCCTATTGTTTTATCAAAAACGAGATAAGTAAAAGATAAGGAAACGGACGGAATACAGCAGTACCACCGACACCAGAGCAAAATATTGTCAGACGAGCAACCGTAGTCAAGTCATTTTATGCCTCAATGATGACAACGACTCTGAAGCTTTAAAAGTAAACTTTTAACCACACCAAAACCAAGCAAAAATAAAAATCTATAATAATAATAAAATTTCACGCAAAGTAAGTTAATTACGGTAAATGAAAAAAAGTACTTGAGCGGGACCACAACCATATGAACGATCACATTGCAGAACATATATTTATATATATAATGCAGTTTAAATTCTGAGTGACTTAGTGACTAAGAATGAGACGGTGGCTCATCGAGGTTCGTTTCGTTTCTGTCTTCGGTGCCAGTAGGATCTACAGAACTAGAATGCACATCGGAAGCATTTTCAACGGTAACAGATGAGAGGGACATGACGTTCCTCTGCACTTCATTGACCGCAACGAAGTTTTGCGATGACGAGGATAAATTATCCGGATCAGTATTGTGAACGAAAGTTAGGTGGCGCCTCATAGATGACTTTTGGTTGAAGGTGCGCTGACACAAGGGACACGAGAACGGCTTTATTCCAAAATGAATGGTGATGTGCTTCTTGAGGTTATACTTGCAGTATTCCCCACGGAAAACTTTGGAACAAATTTGGCAGGAGATGGATGAGTCTGGTAGCATGTGCATCGTCTGAGAGCTGCTTTTGGAAGACTCCCACGAAGAGAGATTTACTCCCTCATTGCCAAGGCGTTGTTGCTGGATCGAGTCCAACCGACGTTTTCCCTCCTGCGAGGATGAAAATGTTTTTGGTAAAATCGGGCGATTTTTGGAGGACGGTGAGAGGAAGTTGAAGAACATGGCGGAGTCCGTTGAAGGCAGACCAAGAGATACGGAACTTATGGGGCTATGAAGAGATTGGCCACTGCACGAAGCTGAGATTTTCTCGCAGTGTTTTGATGAGCTCACCTGCAAATGAAATGAGGAACCTCAGACAAAAGCCCGACACTCATCAATTTGGGTCACAATTTGCATCAGATAAATTAAACATGATAGACGCAATAAAAATTATGACAAACTCAATGCTATCGTCGACTTCTAGGAATCAAGCTTGAACGACAAGAATAAGTACAAATACCAGCGCTCCAAAGAAATTAAGCCTTTGGCGTTAGAATTACCCGACATATATCACTCCATATGAAATTATGATCATAAATTCAGAATCTAATTCAGTAATTCTGAACATCCGCTCAAATTTCCAATCGTGAAAACAGTGGTTAGAAATGATCTGCGATTGATCCCGTTTCTTTCATAAGAATCGCAACTGGAATTATTGTGAACGAATTTCATTCCGGAAATTGGGTCTGAATGTTCATGTTAAAATGAAGAACTTGTCGAATTATTAGAGAATTCTTAAGTTTATCACGAGCCGGGAAAGATGTCTCTGGAGTCGGGACTCAACTCCTACGAACAAAAGCAGCAGCGATTAAACGATACGCAAGTGAGAAACAAGGTTAAATTTACAACTCTCAGTATATTATAAAATTTATACATATCATCAGTATAGACGCTGACAGCGGAGCATTTACAATAGTTTTGATAAATGATCTGAGCTTCAATTTGAGGTAACGAAATGTTTTCTGTTCCTAGGTCCGCATCCTTACTAAGTATTTACAGAAGTATTTCAGAAATATGCGACGGATTCCAGGTCAAGAACTTCGTTCTTGATATAACGTTCGATATAACGTTCGTTAGGTACTTGATATAATACTTGATATAACTTGATACTTGATAAAACTTGATATAACGTTCGATAGATATAACGTTCGTAGATAACGCATAACGTAAAGATTCGCTTGTTACCATAAAACGCAGAGCTCAATCCATTTAAAGGCAATTAGGCTTTGCTGAAAGATATCTTTAGCAGAATGAACGATACTAAGGCGAGAACAGGACTAACAATTGAAGAAAATACGAGTGACCAATGAAGTAATGCGTTCGAGGGGATAATGAAAAATATTGTGATACTTAATCATGTGTAATTATATCACGAGACGATATCAACAGAGATCAAAGATTCCTCGTAGAAAATCATTAACACCACAGTCGTGTCTAAAAAATAACCACCCTCAAGTATAGCTTGCAAAGAACGCAACGAAGCAAAGGCACATAACGCAATTACATGTGATCAATAGCATCAAACTGAAACAAGAGAACGAGGATATACACTTAAAAATGCTCGTGAACTCACACAAGTCTCAGTAAGACCACTCGTTCTTTATTATACAAACCTTCTTAGAAATAAGAATCAACGTCTACTAAATGATTGATAAAATGTGTAAAAAATCAAGAGTTTATTTCCGTAAACGCTTAGAAGCCATGCGAGGTATAAGCTCATGTCAAAACGTTCAATTAGAGGCGCTACACATAGCCAGTGGGTCTATTATGTCTAGTAAAGCCCTCCGTATACAATGACACAGCAAAAAAAAAATCAGCCAAGATATTTATTATGTCCTTTGATTTATTCTTAAATAGGTTATTGTTACACGCATTAATGAACAGTAAAGAACAGCACCAAAGTAAAAAAAGTGGTATAAATTCCTAGAAAAAAATATGTTATGAGCCTCTGCCGGTTGACCTACCATCAATTTATGAAGATTCATAGGCACAGATTCGCACGAATGAGTGCATGTCACTGACGAGCGATTTGAAAAATCGCCGGTTAGTTCAGTCATAATTAAATGTCTCGAACGCAAGAAACTTGATTTATGGTGTGACTACTCTCGTAGTTAACCTTACGATCAACCTATCATTATTCCAGTTGCCAACCCAAAACACGTAAAATGCATCAAAGTTACAAAAAAGTATAGAGAGTTTGAGAGCATCGCTCAAGTACATGCCGTTAAATAGAGGATTGATTCGCGGTGTCGTCGACAGCCTGATTTCTAGGATCTTCGTTTTCCTTAACGACAACAATGTTATGAACGGAAATCATGTGCCTCTTCAAGTTTCCTTTTTGGTTGAAGTCAGCCGGACAATATGGGCACAAAAATGGGCGAGATCCCGAGTGAAGAATCAAATGTTTGCGCAGGTTATACTTCCTGTATTCACCCAAGAACTCTTTACCACAAACGTGACAGGAGCATGTGTTTAGCGGGTCACTTGTTTGGCCTGGGACTGCGGTAGAGTGATCTGCGGTTGGTGAATCCGTGAAATAATCTTGCCCGATCCTGAGACGTTCATCGTTGTAAGGTAACGACATCGAACGATGCTTAGCGGAGCCTTGAGGTTTTTGGTTGAACGAAGACATGCAATGCGACACAGAAGTGTTACAGGGTGTCGAGAAAACACCAGATGAGGTACTCTTGAACGCAACTGATGGTGTCATGTTGGCGTCCTTCTTGGCGAAGCTCAAGTGGCCAATAGCCTGGAAGATAACGGCAGTCTCTCAATTTTCATTTCCTTATCATTGCAAAAATAGTCAAATTATGGAAAGATAGCCGGATAAAAAGATACAATTCCGAAGGCCTCACGTATAATAACCTCATTACCATAAATAGTTGAACAGCATTCATTTTAACTTAACTTTGGGTATAACGTGTCCAAATACGCAAGCAGAATGAAACTATATTCAAAGCAATAGAAATCCAAAGTATGGAAAGCTTCATTGCGTTAGGTCTACCACAAACATGAACGGACGAAAGTGGAAAATTAATTTAATGTGAATGCTGACAAAAATAATGGAATAATCACGTGATCTGAACGCCAGTCTGGAAGATATTGTTGTGGAAGAAGCAGAAAGCCGATGGATGATATTACGTATCATTTCATGATAGAGCATTTAATATAACACACTATCTGCCATTAAACTGAAAGCTAGAATGTTCACCAAAAACATAGATGTAACCATGTAACTGTACGCGGCAATATGCATAGAATTCAAAAGCCGTTAGTCTTCAACGGTACGCAATATAAATAATATACAACCAAAACATACAGACGTAAAAATGAGACTGTACGCAAGAATATACAGCCAATACACACAGATTTACGCGTGAATCTTCAGCCAACAATATTAATCCAAAATATTACGAGCATGAAACTGTACACAAGCATATACAACTGGAGCCTGACATGCGTGAAAATGTTACAACAAACAATGTTAAAGTTTTGATTCGCCGCGACGTTGTGCCGTACCCGCTGAATTATTGTCCTTTTTAAATCTCGTTATTTGGATCACTCAACCAGGATTTCTCAAGGGAGGCGAAAGTGATTTCATTCCTGAGGTTATCTGGCTGTTGATGTGATGAAACTTGACGTAGCTCTTGAGGTGCAGGTTGATCATTCGAGATCGTGTTGCTCATCACTGGCGAAGACTTGGAGGAACGGATGGCAGAGGTCTCAGCGTTCAAAGATCCTTCAGAGTGGCGTGGAGTTGAAGATAGCTTAGCATTAGCATCAGACTTGCTTGCCTTCGTTTGATAATGGGTATAAAGACTGCAGTCGCCTTGGTTTAATACTTCAGTATTTACTCGAGGAGTGTATGTTGATGCCAGCGTAACGGTATCTGTTGTAGCGCGCCGAGACGAGATGTACGAACTTTGCACATCGCCGGGTCGCGACTTATCATCGAATGGCAAATTGTGAACCATAAGCACGTGCGTTTTAAGGTTGCCTTTCTTATTTGTGTTGTGAGGACAGTACGGACACTGGAAAGTTTTGAGACCCGTGTGAATTGCCATGTGCTTCTTGATATTGTACTTGCGATAGACTCCGCGAAAGCCTTTGCCACATTCTGGGCAATAAGAGATTTGAGAAGCGGCATCGATAGACGCAGCTGGGCGGCTTTTCGTCTGAGACCAACGGTTGTTCTGAAAAGCAGACACGACACTCGAGTGAGATCTGAGAGCAAGGCATGCATATTAATCACGAATAAGACTTTCCTAAATAAACTTTCACTGTTAAGGACGCCATAGATTTTGATCTTCGACCAATATTCAATAGTCATGCGCAAAAAAAAAACAATTGAAAACCTTAATCCTTATATGAGACAAGAGGTAAATAAAAATCCGGTCATAATTTTACATTCTGTACGTAGCTCACAAAACATTCAAATCCTATGAAGCAAAGATGTAACCCAAACAAATTTTAAAACTTACAATTTTTTAGACTAAAAATCAGATCACGGAACGATTGATTGCATAACAGCTCCTGTGAGGCGTCTCATTACTTGATGAATTTATCAAGGTTCTGGTGGATGGCTCAGATGGGATTGAATAACAGATTGAAAAAAGCTGAAATTACGTTAGAAAAAAAAGGGTGTAGTCAGTCCATTAGTTTTCGAACACAGATTAAATATTTTTACAAATTAGAGAATCGGCTCAAAGTTGATCAAAAAAATAATTTATCGAGCTCATTTGAAATAATTCAAT